TAAGCGGCCTTACTTGGTGAGGTTTTGCCCATGGTAATAATGACAATGATAATAATGATAATAATAAACCTTTGTAAGTGCTTACTATGTACCAAGAACTGTTCTAAGCACCCCACTTAATCCTCATGCGAACCCTATGAGATAGGTACAATTATTATCCCCATTTGGCAGTGGAGAGAGTGACTCTCAAAGAGATTCAATAAATTGCCTAAGAGTACATGGCCAACAGTAGAAACAGGCTCTGAAGTCACATAACCTATCACTGGGATCTTTACACTTCACTCTGCTGTTTTACCTCGCAAGAGGCTCAGGGGATCTGGTGGCCTTCCCTAAAGGCCCTCAGGGGAGAATGCTAGGACACAAGAAGAAACTCACCAGGCTGGGCATGGTGCCCTGTGAGGGTACAAACAGGTGGAGAGCAACAGGGGGAGCTCTGAAGTTCATTTGCCCTGTGCTGTAAGGCTGAGCTAGATCCAGAAGGGGGCAAGGATGGCCGGGACCACCAGAGTGGGGAGCTGGCTCCCTGCTCCTCAGGGAGAATTTCTTGTCCTCACTGCTGTCTTGGAAAGAGCACTGCCATGGAGACTGGGCTCATGTCTCTGCTCCAGGCTCCTGATGCTCATAAAACTAGTAAGGCTGCCCTCTGCCCTCCATGGACTGGAGCCTCAGCAAAGCCCCTTGGGCTCCAGGTCTGGTGGTGTGGGGGGAAGGGGTTAGGAAGGAGAGTGGCCAAAAGGGCCAGTGGAAACATGTGGTCACAACTATATGAGGACAATCTCTCTAAGTGACAAGTGTACAACCAAACTCATCATCAGTAAAAGGGTCCTGACTTTGGATTTATAAAACTAGTCTCTGCTTCCCCTCTCAGCCTCAGATTCTCCATCATCCATAAAATGGGGGTAATAAAAACTACCCTCCCCAGTGGTGATGTGAATGCTAAATAAGAAAGTATATATAAAAGCACTTAGCATGGTGCTTGCCCAGCATACAGTGGGTGCTAAATAATTGGGAGCTTTTGTATTAGCAGTGCTCTGATTTGGTTAATAGTGAGTGAGTGGCTCTAGTGGTATGCCATGGGGCTCTGTTCTGAAAAATAGTATGGATGGTGGAGTTGAAGTTGCAAGGAGCAGCCTGGATCTAAATTTAGAGAGGGAGAGAAAACAGTGGGCAATAGAACGAGCATTCAAAACCATTTCATCAGGCTGCAATATGCAAGATGACATTGTCCTTCTGTGAGATTCAAGACATTAACACAAAGTAGAGGATGGGGCAGAGACCTGACTTGACCCTAGCTCCAGAGAAAAGGATCTGAATGATTTAGTTGACCACAACCTGATGGGAACTAATCATGGGAGAGAAAGGCTCGGAAGCTCAGCAGTCTTAGACTGCACTAACACTGTGCCGCGTCCAGGCTGGGGGGAATAATAGGCCTATTGTGCTGGCGTGATCAGGCCATATCTGGAATCTCACATAGCTCCACTGACAGAATGGAATCAGGCTGGGAGGGGGACCAGCCCAGTCTCCGCTCCCAGGCTCTTTCGCCAAGCACTTCCTGTGTATTTTCTTGTTTCATACAAAAAAACACCCCTATCAGGTAGTCATTATTAATATTCATACTTGACACACAGGGAGGTTAACTGAATTGCCCATGATCAACCACAGCTAGTAAACGGAGATGCCTGGGGCTTTTCCGAATGTATTTCTCTTGTGCTTGTACTTGACGGAGACTGAGCATGCCTCACTGAACACACATTTATTAAGTTCCTACTGTGAGTCAGGCCCCAAGTTAGTGGTGGGGCCTTATATCTCCCAGGGCTTCTTGTGGGGGAGACACATAAACTCCATCAGGCTTCTGGAAATTTTTGTTGAGAGGGACAGAGTAGGGCTGTGAAGGGGGAAGCAGTAAAAAAGATGTGGTTCCTACCTTCCCGGAGCTCATGAGCTGATGGGGACCTAAATCACTTGTGATAACAGTGATGCTACAGGAGTGAAAATTTTAGGGCTGAAAGGGACTGTACAGTTCACCTCAGCTAACTCAAACCCAGAGAGAAGAGTCAGAATAGCATCACACAGCTCATGGCAGAGCCCTGGGGGCCTGTCCATGCCCTTTTCACAGTATTTAACTGCCTTGTTTTGGCTCTCTTCTTCTCAGCAGTGGCCAAGAGGTGTGTGCCAACTTGGGATCTGGTAGGGCACACAAGGAAACTTGGTGTGGTCATCCTGGCCCCATTTCTCCTTCCTGCAATCAGAGAGCTCTTCAGAAGGAAAAAAGGAGCTTGCAGCTGAGCAGCCCACAGGAACAGGGATGATTGGCCTTTGGAAATCCCAGCAGAGGCTCCACTGAGCAGCCACCCCACCCTCAGCCTCATGAGTGTCTGGGAAGCCTGGGGTGACCCTGGCATAAGGGACCCAGAGGTGGTAGGACTGTTTTCTGGCATCTGCGTCTGACCTCTGTTCTAGATTAATGTCTGCCTATCTTCTTTCCAGAACCAGATTACTCAGTACTCAGTTTTTCAAACCTTTCTTTGATTGTTTCAACCAGACTGTCATTACAGCTTATATCTCCCAGGGCTTCTTGTGGGGGAGACACATAAACTCCACCAGGCTTCTGGAAATTTTTGTTGAGAGGGACAGAGTAGGGCTGTGAAGGGGGAAGGTTGTGGAAAGGGACAAAGCCTTCCAGGCCTGGCTCTGCCATATAACTGTTTCACTCCTCCCTTCCCTCAGCTGTAAAATGGGGATCCTGAAAGTACCATTCCCTCACGGAGGCTGCGAGCTGAAAGAGATCACGTAAGGCATGGAGGAAGCTCTCCATAAAAGGCCACTGTTGCTGTCACAGTGCAGTAGTGGCGGTGGTTCTATCTCCTTTCCACAGCTTGGGAGCTCCTTGCCCGCAAGGGCAGCTACTGCTTTGCCTCATCTTCCTCCCCCATTGCTGAGTGTCAGCAAGAAGGAACGGTAGTCTTGGGGAATGAGAGAGGGTCATCAGTACGAAAGGTGCCAGCGCTACAATCTCCAGATTTAAAGCAGACGGAGACTCAATCTGACTCCAGATTTTAAAGGGGGCAGGGGGCTTCAGGGCCCCTACCTGTCCTAGGTCTGGAGCCAGAAGTCACCGGGTGTACGCCCGACTCAGGGAGAACTCACTCTGGGGAACCCCGGGCAGCCCAGGGCCGCTATTTCCTCGTGCGTGTCAGGTGGGTCTCCAGCCTTCTCCCAGGGCTGCCCAGAGCGAGCGCACCCAGACGCCGCTGCGGGCGCACTGCGAGCGTGACTCTGTGGCAGAGAGCCGCGGGGCGGGGCGGGCTGGCGGGCAGGCGAAGGGATTGGCTGGAGCCCAGAGGGCCGGATCGAACCTTTAAGAGGCGCGAGGGGGCGTGCAGGGGAGTGTGCACCCAGTCCGCCCGCCTGCGGGTACTGCTAGTACACTGCGACCGTGGCGGCGGTGAAGGCTACGGCGAGAACCCGGACCGAGTGGAGGCCCACGGAACAGAGGAACATCCCTCTCTTGTGGGGGTCCCAGGCGGGGTGGCCCGCGAGTCATGGCCAAAGGAGAGGGCGCCGAGAGCGGCTCCGCGGCGGGGCTGCTGCCCACCGGCATCCTCCAAGCCGGTGAACGCCCGTCCCAGGTGAAGGTGAGGCCCGGCACCCCGGGTGAAGGGCAACGGGTGCTGGCAGGCTGAAATGGGGGTGGGAGGACAGGCCTGGTTCTGGGACATCTTGGGCTAGCCAAGGACAGGCCGGACCCAGAGACAGGAGCGGGCCCGGATGCCCTGGGGGCAGGGAGCGGAGAACATCTGTAGGATCCGGGCGTCCTCTTTCGCCCACCCCAACTCCTCATCTCTGTGGAGCCGCCCAGCCGGCAGCTTCGCTTGGTGCCCGGCTCTGCCTAGCCGGTTTCAGTTCTGTGAGGAGCGGCTTAGGTTTGCTGCCCTAGAAGCAAGAGACTCCAGATATCTAGGAAACCTTAGTTTCCGAAGTCTCAGCCCCTGCTCCCCACCCCCACATGCTTGCTCTACTGTGAGTGCCGCTCAAGTTCATTCATAAGAACAAGGGCTCTGCTCTTAAAAGAGCCGCAAGCGTTTGTGTGATTGGGTGTTGAGGCGAGCCCGGTGCTTTGAGGTCTTGACCTTCGGCGCCATCCCCAGCTCTCTGGACCTGATGAAATAAGGCGTCCCGAGGGAGGGGTACCAGGAAATAGATATCTGCCTGGGAGATGACTGTCTTTTCCTTTAAATTTTATTAACTGATCTTGGTAAGAGCAATTGCTCTAGCACCAGCTAAAAGTAATTTCTACTTTCCCTGGGCAACCTCTACATCGCTAGTGCTCCACCCAGAGAGGGCCCAGCCTTGCACCTAGAGGTTTTTTCTTCCTGTCCAAGGTCTAGGAACTGGAGAAGAGGGACAGGAAGAGGGAGGGTAGGATTGCTCCTGGGTTTGCCTGCAGCTCTGGCTGCCTACAGAGGCTAGGGATGCTCTGGGACAGATGGAGAGAACAGCTGTGACTGCAGCCCGCTTGGCTGGGCCCCTACAGCTCACTAGAGCCCTCACCTAGTAGGCAGGTGGGTCCTGGCCTCTGAATCAGGGTGAAAGCTGGGGCTGGGCTTAGGCAAATCTTGGCACAAAGAAGGTTTTCAGGTTGTGACTGTTGGTGCTGGGTGGAGACAGGTCCTCTGCTAGAGCATGTTCCTGCTCCAACTTGGATAGGAACATGGATTGAAGCCTTGGGGAGTTTTTTAGGGATGGTGGCCTGGTAAGTTTCCCCAGAAGCTGGGCCAGAAGGTGGTGGAATGGCTTAGGGATGACTTCCTCAGTATGGTTTCCCCTTTTCCAGGTTCCTAAGAACAGAGAATACCTTTCTTTCCTCCCTGTGTGGGGACCTGGCAAAGCAGACTTGTTCCTCCTGGCAGAGTTGGCTGGAGGCATGGTCTCCTGCCTCTGGAACCTTCTAGAATGGAGTCCAGGATCTTGGGTCTCTTTTCATCCTTTCCTCTTCTTCCAGAAGGAACTGAAGAAGAAACAACAGCTGTCCATTTGCAACAAGCTTTGCTATGCAGTTGGTGGGGCCCCTTACCAGGTGACTGGCTGTGCCCTGGGGTTCTTCCTGCAGATCTACTTGTTGGATGTGGCTCAGGTGAGTGGGCCAAGCCTGCCAGGACCTGCCCAGCATCCTGAGGTGGGAAAGACGAGGTACTCCCAGGCAGGTTCATTGAGGTTCCCCCTTCTGTGAAATGGAACTGGGAATATCTACTTTGCTTCTACTCAGAGTCACAGTGGATGAGAAATAAGGCGGCTTTGGAGAGTATCCAGAATATTCCACCCAGGAATCTTAACTGGCAAGGTCAGGCAACTCCTCCTTGCTGGGCAAGAGCAACAGAGCCTGGAGGGGTAGGCAGTGGTGTGAGGGAAAATGGGGTCCATGTTGATACTGTTCTTAGAAGAGATGGCACACCAAGTCCCTGGCTGGACAACAGTCAGCTGGCTCAGCTCAGGTTGGTAGATGTTGCCAGCCTTGTGGATGAGGTGCATCTTACCTTCACCTGATGATCAGAGACATGTCAGTGGGCAGAGGGGCCCTCAAGGGCTGGGCTGAGTTAGAGTGCCCCAGTACACAGGGTCTTTGACTAGAAGAGGTACTTGGGGTGAAGCAGGACTCCTCTGCATTGAGAAACTTGGCTAGCAGCCTGGCATCCTGGGAATTTGCCTTGTCTGGATGGGACAGTGGGAGGCTGAAGAGCCATGGCTCTCTGGGCTCATGTACTACACTGGCTTTTTTTTTCTGTAGCATCTGACTTTGCAAGTAAGACATCTTAGTTGTAACCATTTCTAGGTGAGGAACATCAAGCCCCAGAAAGGACAAATGACTTCATTCAAGCAGCTATTTTTTGAGCAACTCCCATGGGCTGGACCCTGAGTGGGCTGCAAATATGAGGAACCTGCAGTCCAAATGTGAAACTGTTGTCTTGAATGTCAGGGCTGGGAAAGTTAGATTGGGGAAACTAATGTGAGAGAGGCCACCAGCTTCTGGGAAGGTTCCTAAGGAGGCACACAATGGTACTGCTATCAGAGAACTGTGCAGTATTACCAAGGCAAGTGAAGATGCTTAAGGCCTGGGTGGGAGCAGCAGCAGGTCCCAAGGGTCTGGCCAAGGCAGGGAGGGAGCCCCTGTTTTTGTCCACCAGTGAGGTTTGAAGTGGGTAGAAGGATAAGGGGGTTTCCTTTTGCCTGTTCCCTATTCCAGGTGGACCCTTTCTCTGCCTCCATCATCCTTTTTGTGGGCCGAGCTTGGGATGCCTTCACAGACCCTCTGGTGGGCTTCTGCATTAGTAAATCCTCCTGGACCCGCCTGGGCTGCCTCATGCCCTGGTGAGTAGAAGAGGCTGCAAGGTGGCAGAAGACGGAACTTCTGGCATGTCTACTGACCGTTGCTCCTTCCATCTGGCTTGTCAAAGGCCAGGGGGTGAGGAGGAGGAATGACTCAAAAATGTTGAAACTCCAGCTGAGGCCACCACTGCTCCAGGCGTAGGCACTTGGATGCCCTTGCACTTTACTCTCAGGCTTGCCAGATTGTCAGACTCAGCAGGTTTCCCTAGCCCAGACCTCACTGCTTCCTTCAATGAAGCTGGAATTCTAACTGTTCCCACTCCATCACTTCTCATACTAGCAGGGGTAATACTGCATAGTGGTTGAGAGGTTATACCCTGGAACCAGCCTGCCTCAGTTTGAACACCAGCTTCACCACTGTAGCTGTGCAACCTTGGGCAAGTCACTTAACATCTCTGAGCTTCAAGCATCTTCATAGGCAAAATGGGAATAAGTATGCCTATCTCACAGGGTTGTAGTAGGGAGTAAATGTTTTTAAAATATGTAATGTACTTAGAATAGTGACTGTACACATATTAAGTAATATGTAATTTGGTACCCCTTCAGAGTGGCTCCTGGCGGGAGGTAATACCGTGAATGGGATAGCAGACCCATATCCTCTGGCCCCTTGTACGATGTGAACTACCTTTTCCCTTGTTACAAAGCCTACACTATTCCATCAGGCTATGGGGCAAGGTGGGGGGAGGTGGTGCCATAGATCAGACAGCAAAGGGAGACACAGGACAGGCTGACAGGCCGGAGCTCTGGTTCCCTCCAGGACATCCTGCTTGGCGTGGGGAGGGAGGGTAGACATACTCCTTTCATCTCCAGCCCATACTGGCTCAAGTGGGCGCCTTCCTGCCCCAGGGGCGTCCATACCTGGTCTCCGGCCTTCAAAGCTCTTCCCAGGCTCTTCCTATGGCTCTAACCCCCCACCAGAGCTTCCTTTCCCACGAGACCCCCTCCCACCACAGCTCCTGGCTAAGGCCCAGGCTGGGGCCTTTGATCCAGGCCTCTGGGGGTGGGAGGGGGTCTCGTGCGACAGGCCCATGATGACAGCCTGCTTTACCTGGGCAGGCTGCTCAGGCCTCCCAGCAAGCCAGCTGGTGAGGCCTAGCCCTGTACCCGCCTCCCTGGCAGCCAGTGGAAGGCGGGGCTCCGCTGCCACATCTCCTCATGAGGCACAGCCAATGGGAGGCAGCTACTTTGGCCAGCCCAACACAACAGCAGCGCCGGGTTACTCCCAGTCACATTCGGTTCCTCAGAGGCTGCTCAGCTGCCTATGAGAGGAGGATTGAGTGTTTGACGAAGGCTGATGGAGGAGCCCTTGTTCTCTGAGGAGACACGTGGATTTGGCAAGGGTGGAGGAGGGCAGGGAAGGAGAGCAGAGAAGGCCCTCCCTGTGGGCGGCAGGATCTGAGGGCCTCTCGCCGAGCAGGTGTGGCAGCCGGCTTGGTGAAGTTGCTGAGAACCCTTCAGGCTGGTTTCTGTTTTAGCACTGTGTCTGTAGTTGTCCTCACTTGTCTGGGTGATGATTCCTAGTGATACTGCTCATGTGGTGCCCCAGCCCTGTGTCAGAGGGTGCCCTGGGATACTCATGGGCTGAGGGGCCCTGTGTAGTATATGTGACCTCATGGACTAGGCTCTTTCTCAGGCCTGGGACCTGGTACCCCTTCTTTCAATGAAGGAAGAGGTTGGGCCTTTCAAGGATCATGAGCCCCGTGACCCACTCTTCCTCCTGGGCCTCAGACTAGCTCCTGCCCTCAGCCATCATTTAAATCCCTTCTTCAGAGCAGGAAGACTTTGATAGACACTTTCCCTGGAGTTCCCAAGGCTATCCGATGAGAGGCAGGATGTCTGCAAAGACTCGGGGAGGCCAAGATGGAACAGGGGTGGACCTGAGGTCTGGTTCCTAGCCCAGTGCTGTCTGCAGTTCCTAGCTGTGGGCCTGTTATGAACTCTCCAGCTGAGATTTCTTGCTGTGATAATCACAGCAAACCCTGTTTCAAGTACTGTTCTACATTTTAATATCATCTTATTTATGTCTCAAAACTACTTCAACCCTATGAAATAGAGCCAAAGTCCATATGATGGCCTGTAAGGCCCTACACGGCCTGGCATGCTCTTTCCAAACTCATCTCCTAAGCCCATCTGCTATGCTCACTACTTAAGCCCTACTGGCCTCCTTGCTGATCCTCAGACCCACCTGAGGACCTTTGTACCAACTGTTCCCCTTGCCCAGCAAGCTCTTGCCTCAGATCTCTGCAAGGCCAACCCCCTCTTCACACTCAAGTCTTGACACAGATGTCACCTTCTCAGTGAGGGTTACCCTGTCCCTTCAGTTGTGAATTGCACCCCCTTACTCCTTTAGTCTGCTTTATCCTTTTCTTCATAGCACTTAATCACCTTCTAACATCTTATATAAGTTATTGTGTGAAAATATGTATAACAAAATTCATCATTTTAACCAGGTTTAGGTTTACAGTTCAGTGGCATTAAGCATATTCAAGCTGTTGTGCAACCATCACCACCATCCATCTCCAGACCTTTTTCATCTTTGCAAACTGAAACCTAGCACCCAATAAAAAATAATTGCCCATCTTCCCTGCCCCCGGCCCCTGGCAATCACCACTGTACTTTCTGTCTCTGATTTTGACTATTCTACATATCTCATATAAGTGGGGTCATACAATATTATCCTTTTGGGTTTAGCTTACTTAGCACAGTATCTTCAGGGTTCATCTGTGCTGTAGCACAGAATTTATCCTCTTTAAGGCTGAATAATATACCTTTTTAATTATGTATATTTTTAATTTGCCAACTAGAATGTAAGTTCCACAAGAGCAATGATTTTTGTCTGTTTTGTTCACTGATAAATCCTAAGTAATCAGAATGGTGCTCAGACATAGTGGGCACTTGAATATTTCTTGCATAAATATTGAATGTAAAGTAGGTGCTATTACTATTTTCATTTTACAGATTGGAAAATGAGCCTCAGAGAAGTTAAATAATTTGCCCAAGACAAAGTTGTTTATAGTTGTTGGTAGAACTGGAATTGGATCCCTAAAGTTTGGCTCCAAAGGCCTTTATTTTAACCACTGCTCTCTGCTGCTTTTCTATACTGATGCCATGAAGTCTGTCCGTCTTGAGGTCTAACCACTTGTGACGTGTGGGACTCACAAGTGGGGAGGCAGGCATTTGCCCCCTTTACACTTATTCCACTAGGCCCAGTCCTCCACCATGGCCTCTCTAGAAGGAAAACCTTTGCCCATGGTTGGCTTCCCCGACCCCTTTGTGTATGTATCAGGGGTGTGTGTGTGTGTATGTGTGAACATGTGTGAGAACACTGGTGTTGAGGTTGCACCTCCCTGCTTCCCTGCCCCACAGTCTGAGGTCTTGGCCACCATTCTCAGTCCCCTAGCCCACAGGAGGCCCCTGTCTCTAGAGCCTACTCCCCTGGGAAGATGGAGTCAAGACTCATGTCTAACCTCATGTTCCACACTCACGATTTTAGTCCAGGAGCCCAATTCCAGTCTACCCTTCCGGGCTTGGCTATCAGCCTCTTCCCAGAGACCCTGGGATGGGTGGATTTGGAAGGAGGAATTTCCTTCCCAGCGGGCACCCTGTGGGGCTACAGAGTAGTCCAGCCAAGCTCAGATCCTGGGGTTTTGGCATCCAGCCCCCCTCAGACCCTCCCCTTCCTCAGGATCATCTTCTCCACGCCTCTGGCCGTCATAGCCTACTTCCTCATCTGGTTTGTGCCTGACTTCCCACAGGGCCAGGCCCTGTGGTACCTGCTGTTCTATTGCCTTTTTGAGACACTGGTCACGGTGAGTGTGGGCATGTCCCCTGGGTGTCTGGGACGGGGGTGAGGGCAGTCCCTGGGGCCTCCAGGGCTGGTGCCCAAAGCCACATCTGTCTGTCCATCGTCTGACTGGCCGAGGGCCTCTCTTCCATGCCAGTGTTTCCACGTTCCCTACTCAGCTCTCACCATGTTCATCAGCACAGAGCAGAGTGAGCGGGATTCTGCCACTGCATATCGTAAGTCTCTCCCCAGCTCACTGATCCCACCCACCAGGGACCCTGGGTCAACACCCACCAGGGACCCTGGGTCAACTTCTCCCTGACCCTCCTGCCACATCTTCCCTTGCTGAGAGTGGGTGTGAGATTATCTTAAAAATAACTCAATCCCCTTATTGCTCTGCTAGGAACAGAAAGGTGCAGGGACTAGCCAGAGGTCACACAGAACCAGGCCATGAGTTTAGGCCCAAGTGCCATTTGCCCAACCACTTTATAGCCACCCTACCTGGCCCTGCTACCATCACCTGGGGCTATAACTGGGCTTCTATCTATCTGACCTTCCTCCATGGGGGCCCATAAGCCATGAGGCCCCTCCAGAGGACCTCCTTTTCATTGCTCAGGGATGACTGTGGAAGTGTTGGGCACAGTGCTGGGCACAGCGATCCAGGGGCAAATTGTGGGACAAGCCGATACACCTTGTCTCCAGGACCCCAACGGTTCTGCAGTGGCCTTGGAAGTTGCCAATCACACACATGGCACCACCTCACTTAGAGAAACGGTAAGGCCTCTAGCAGACAGAGATCTGGGGACATGAGGAGCAATAGGGTGGTTTGCAATCATTCTCAAAATAGTAATAATAGCTAGTGTTTATTAAACGCTGGGCATTTGATATATAAACTGTTAATATGCCCTCTTTGCAGATAAGGAAACTGAAGCATAGAGAGACTAATGATTTGTCCAGGAACATAGAGCTAGTGAGTTGCAGAAACTAGATTTGGGGGGAAATGAACTGTGGGTTCTTGGACTCCACAGCCTGGCTTCCTAACATTTTGTTCCTCTGAACTTTGCCCAGTCTTAGGAAGCAGCAACAGGCCTAAGATGATCCCCATTTCACAGAGAGAGACAGTATGAGGCCCCAGAGAAGAAGGGACTTGTCCAAGGTCATCGAGTGGAGCTTTTGGGGTTTGGGATGAGATCGGACTGACTGTCTCTATGTTGCCTTTACTCCCTTTATAGCAAAATGCATACCTGCTGGCAGCAGGGGTCATCGCCTCCATCTATGTCATCTGTGCTGTCATCCTAACCCTGGGCGTGCGGGAGCAGAGAGGTGAGGGGCCCTTGGGAGGGGTGCAGGCACCAGCTCGGGATGGCTTTGTCCCTCTGCCCAGGCCTCAGGCTTAGGAGGGCCCTCTGACTCTTCCTCACTGTCCCCTCTGACCCCCAGAACCCTATGAAACTCAGCAGGCTGAGCCAATGCCCTTCTTTCGGGGCCTCCGGCTGGTCATGAGCCATGGCCCATACATCAAGCTTATTGCAGGCTTCCTCTTCACCTCCCTGGCTTTCATGGTGAGTGGAGGTCTGATATGCTTGCTGGAAGGTGGGGTGGAGGTGTATGGAGGTGAGGTAGACCCAGGACTCAGGATGTGATGAATCCTGAGGGATGGATGGGATGTGGTGGGGTGATTGGAGGCCCCTGGGGCATGTGGGATGTCCTGGGGAGGTTCAGCCCAAATATCACCTCTTTCCTTGCATTTTCTTCTCCCTACTTTGTCCTGTCCCCCAGCTGGTGGAGGGAAACTTCGCCTTGTTTTGCACCTATACCTTGGGCTTCCGAAATGAATTCCAGAACCTGCTTCTGGCCATCATGGTATGTGTGGGGCCCAGAGGGTGGGTAGGGAACCCGGGCTGAAGTGGCATAGGTTGTGAGAGGGCTCTTTGGATAGTCTGAGGACATTTCTCAGACTGGCCCAAGGTCATGAAGGAATTAGAAGACTTCTCAGAATGTTTGGTGGACCTGACCTACAATTGCTTAGTTAGCACCATGAAAGTCTGAGTCTGGGCTTAACTATTCAAGTAGAAAGCATAGCAAAAGCAAAGGTGTGGAGGGCTGGGGAAGGCAGGAGATGAGACTGGACTAGCTCTCAGAGAAAGTGCCTGCCAGTTTCTTCACTGCTCAAATGATGCCGTCCGGCTGCTCTCAGGCCAGGCTGGGAATCCCTTCGGGGTCCTAGGAAGGGCAGGAGGAGTTCCATGACTCTAGCCCACTTCCCTCACCCACTCTGTCCCTCTTTGTCCACCCACAGCTCTCGGCCACATTCACCATTCCCATCTGGCAGTGGTTCCTAACCCGGTTTGGCAAGAAGACGGCTGTATACTTTGGGATCTCAGTGAGTGGGGCTGAGGGGTGAAGCCTGGGCAGAGTTGAGGGTTGCTGGTGGGACCTCTCAGTGGGCTCATCTTCCGGCACCCACCCCCTCCCAGTCTGCAGTACCATTTCTCATCTTGGTGGCCCTCAAGAAGAGTAACCTGATCGTCACATATGTGGTAGCTGTGGCGGCTGGCATCAGTGTAGCTGCTGCCTTCTTACTACCCTGGTAAGTATGTATAGGCCCACCTGGGTATGGTCCCCAGCCCCATCCCTCAGTTCAGAAGCTCCTCAGGGAGAATTCTGTGGGGGCTTCTCCTCCTGTAGGGTATTCTGTGGGTCAAGGTTGGGCATGGTGCAGGTCTTCCCTGTACATTTGTTCAGGTTGGGAACTGGCCAAGAACACTTAAGCAGTGTGGGAAGTGGGGACTTAAATCTGGTCTGCACTCTATTTGCCAAGCTGGAGGAATGGGCCTTATTCATAAGAAGTTGCCATCTTTCTGAGCTATGTGCTCATGGGGCTGCACACTCTCAGACGGCCACCTCTTCTCACTGACACAGAAGCACCATTTGGGCAGGGGAGGGCCAGGGTTGCTAGGTGGGAGCATCCTCAGAGCTGCCACCACTCGCTACAGGTCCATGCTGCCCGACGTCATTGATGACTTCCATTTGAAGCAGCCCCGCTCTCGTGGAACTGAGCCCATCTTTTTCTCCTTCTATGTCTTCTTCACCAAGTTCGCCTCTGGAGTCTCACTGGGCATCTCCACCCTCAGTCTTGAGTGAGTGGGGTGGGGGCCTGGGGCAGTGCTGGGTAGGGCCAGACCCCAGGTGCCCCATCCTCACCACTGCCCTGCCACTGGGTCCCACAGCTTTGCTGGGTACCAGACCCGTGGCTGCTCCCAGCCGGCACGTGTTAAGTTCACCCTGAAGATGCTGGTGACCATGGTTCCCATAGTCCTCATCCTGCTAGGCCTGCTGCTCTTCAAGCTGTACCCGATTGATGAGGAGAAGCGGCGGCAAAACAAGAAAGCCCTACAGGCTCTGAGGTGAGATCGGGGCCGGGATGGGGAGGAGGAGGAGGGCATCACCCAGTCTAAGCCCTCAGTGCGTGCTTCCTGTGACCAAGTCCAGACTCACCTCCTGTACTTCTCTTACTCTGCCCCTTCCCACTGCTGATTTCTAATAGTGGCAGCTGACACTTCTCCAGCACTTGGGTGCATGCCAGGCACTGTGCTGAGTGGCTTTACATTTTATTCATTCAGCAAATACTCACTGGAAACCTATTACAGGCCAAGCAGTGCTCTAGAGAATGAAAGAAAAGCCCTGCCCTCAGGAGCCTACGTTTTAGGGAGTGTGCATTCATGATCTCCTATTGTCCTTCAACAACCCTAGGTGTCAGATATTCCTATGAGTCCCACTCTGCAGATGAAGAAACTGAGGCCTAACCAGCAAGAGTGACTGGCCCAGCTGATCAGGGTTAGAGCTGGGGTGGAGCCCTGGCGTTCTCACTCCAGAGCCTGCATTCTTCGCTGCTCTTGTGGCATGCAGGAGCTCAGGTGTGGCCTGAACTCTGGCTTTCGGGAGACTAGAAGGCAGGGTGGGGTGAGTCATGCCAGCCCATCAGCCAGCCTAGGCCAGGGCATAATCCTGGGGCTTGTGGGCAGCAAAAATAGTGAACAGGCCAACCACCAGTTTCTGGGCAGAGAGTGGGGGTGAGTAAACTGTGGTTTAGAGTTAGTTGCCTAACAACAGGCTAAGAGTGCGAGCCAAGATCCCCGTGAGGAACGAGGCAGGTGGGGACTAGAGAAGGGTAAGGATGATTCTTCTAACCTGTCTCTGGCTTTTTCAGGGAGGAGGCCAGCAGCTCGGGCTGCTCTGACACAGACTCTACAGAGCTGGCCAGCATCCTCTAGGGCCTGCTGTGGGCCTTGCTCAAAGCCACCATGCACAGGACCTGGGTCATCAGGCCACACAAGAAATCCGGGCATGCTTGCCTGCTCACTGAATAGCTGGTCTCCAGGTGCCAGGAAGAGTGCCAAAGACTCAGAGTAAGCAGCCCAGGACACCTCCTGTGCCCACTGTGGGGCAGGCCGTTCATACAGCTGCCTGCCTCCCTCTGCCTGCTGTGGGGCTGAGCCCTGGGGCTGCTACTGTGAATATGCCAAGGACTGATTGAGTCTAGCTCGGAACACTAATGTAGAAACATTTTATACAGAGACTAATTAATAACTTAATGACCATGTACATAGCAATGTGTGTGGGTGTGTGTATGTCTGTGAGCTATTCATGTTATTAATTTTCATAAAAGCTGGAAAATGGGGCTGCCTGGTTCGATCTCAGTGAACTGCCTCGGCCACTCAGTGAACCCTTCTGTGCTAAGACGCAGTGAGGGATCACTAAGCCACATGTGCCCTGGATGGGGAGACATCTCTGAAAGTGTGGTAACAGCATCAGCTAATATTTACTAAACACCTGTCTGTACCACAGGCATTGTGTGGTGAGTTTACATTCACTTTGCTGGTGTTCTTATTTAATCCTTGAAATGGTCTTGCTGAGTCAGGACTGTCCCCATGTTAAAGATGGGGAAACTGAGCTCCAGTTTAGAGACTTGGCTAAAGTCACACAGCCGAGTGACCTAACTGAAACTCCACTCCAGGTTTGTGAGACTCCAGCATCTTTTAAGCACCACCCTCCATTCCCCTGTGTCTGAGAGTGACGGACCCACTGTCAGACTGATGGTGGCTCTGCCCAGGCCTGCATGCTGTGCATCCTGCCCTGCTCCTGCCTGAGCATGTGGGGCTGGCTGTGCTGGCACACTGTGTATGACTGGGGCCCTGTGGGTCCTAGAGACATGTGATTCTTTCTCTACGACTGTTAATGGCTATGTTGAAAGGTAAGAATGCACCTGGCTGTGTGTGTGTGCGTATTGGGTGAGGAGAGGTCTCACCACTGGTGTGCTGGTGAAAGATCACCTCTGTTGGGGAGGAGGCTGGTGGGGAAGGCTAGTTTGAAGTACTCATCTATTCTCATGGAGTAAATATTCCCATTATAGCCAATTTCAAGTTACCAATGGTTGTGCTATATTGCAAAATTCCTGAGAATTTAACAGTCAGCTTTTGAAAGCTGGTAGGAACTTGCCTTTGCACATTGTTGGTCTCACACACTTAGGCCTAGCTCCAAATATTGGGAAAGCAAAGCTAGCAGGATTGGAGCTCCCAGGCTAACCTCTTGATTTTACAGATGGATAAACAAGGCCCAGAGAGAAGTGCTTGGACTATGGAGCTTGGTTTTTACTTGGCGATCCATTTTTGGGGAGAGGGGGGATGGGGAGGGGGTCGGATACATATCTGCTGATGAAATTCTGCCAAGCCTGTCATACATGCTTAATAAATAATTCATCCTCATAACTTCCTTATGAGTTCTGTATATACATTATTTTCCCTATTTCATAGATAAGGAAACCAAGGCATAGAAAACTCACTTGTCCAAGGTCATCAGGCAGTAAGTGGACGAGCTGATACTGAATCCAGGCTGTCCGGTAAGAGCCTGTGCTCTGAACCACTACCTCAGGCTGTCATGGTAACATGTGGTTCACCACCACCAGGCAGGTCCTACTGCCTTTGCAGCTGCCATCTCAAGCTCAGAGGCTGCCTGGGCAGGGCAGGAGCCCTGGGCTGTGGTCTAGCCTCCACAGCTGGAATGCTCAGGGACTCAGGTAATGTTTGCAGAGGCCCACTTAAACCTCCCCTATTCCTCCGCTCCAATCAAATAACCACCAAACCCTGCTTTTAAAGAAAAAATTTTTTATTTCTTCTTCACCAAGTTCGCCTCTGGAGTCTCACTGGGCATCTCCACCCTCAGTCTTGAGTGAGTGGGGTGGGGGCCTGGGGCAGTGCTGGGTAGGGCCAGACCCCAGGTGCCCCATCCTCACCACTGCCCTGCCACTGGGTCCCACAGCTTTGCTGGGTACCAGACCCGTGGCTGCTCCCAGCCGGCACGTGTTAAGTTCACCCTGAAGATGCTGGTGACCATGGTTCCCATAGTCCTCATCCTGCTAGGCCTGCTGCTCTTCAAGCTGTACCCGATTGATGAGGAGAAGCGGCGGCAAAACAAGAAAGCCCTACAGGCTCTGAGGTGAGATCGGGGCCGGGATGGGGAGGAGGAGGAGGGCATCACCCAGTCTAAGCCCTCAGTGCGTGCTTCCTGTGACCAAGTCCAGACTCACCTCCTGTACTTCTCTTACTCTGCCCCTTCCCACTGCTGATTTCTAATAGTGGCAGCTGACACTTCTCCAGCACTTGGGTGCATGCCAGGCACTGTGCTGAGTGGCTTTACATTTTATTCATTCAGCAAATACTCACTGGAAACCTATTACAGGCCAAGCAGTGCTCTAGAGAATGAAAGAAAAGCCCTGCCCTCAGGAGCCTACGTTTTAGGGAGTGTGCATTCATGATCTCCTATTGTCCTTCAACAACCCTAGGTGTCAGATATTCCTATGAGTCCCACTCTGCAGATGAAGAAACTGAGGCCTAACCAGCAAGAGTGACTGGCCCAGCTGATCAGGGTTAGAGCTGGGGTGGAGCCCTGGCGTTCTCACTCCAGAGCCTGCATTCTTCGCTGCTCTTGTGGCATGCAGGAGCTCAGGTGTGGCCTGAACTCTGGCTTTCGGGAGACTAGAAGGCAGGGTGGGGTGAGTCATGCCAGCCCATCAGCCAGCCTAGGCCAGGGCATAATCCTGGGGCTTGTGGGCAGCAAAAATAGTGAACAGGCCAACCACCAGTTTCTGGGCAGAGAGTGGGGGTGAGTAAACTGTGGTTTAGAGTTAGTTGCCTAACAACAGGCTAAGAGTGCGAGCCAAGATCCCCGTGAGGAACGAGGCAGGTGGGGACTAGAGAAGGGTAAGGATGATTCTTCTAACCTGTCTCTGGCTTTTTCAGGGAGGAGGCCAGCAGCTCGGGCTGCTCTGACACAGACTCTACAGAGCTGGCCAGCATCCTCTAGGGCCTGCTGTGGGCCTTGCTCAAAGCCACCATGCACAGGACCTGGGTCATCAGGCCACACAAGAAATCCGGGCATGCTTGCCTGCTCACTGAATAGCTGGTCTCCAGGTGCCAGGAAGAGTGCCAAAGACTCAGAGTAAGCAGCCCAGGACACCTCCTGTGCCCACTGTGGGGCAGGCCGTTCATACAGCTGCCTGCCTCCCTCTGCCTGCTGTGGGGCTGAGCCCTGGGGCTGCTACTGTGAATATGCCAAGGACTGATTGAGTCTAGCTCGGAACACTAATGTAGAAACATTTTATACAGAGACTAATTAATAACTTAATGACCATGTACATAGCAATGTGTGTGGGTGTGTGTATGTCTGTGAGCTATTCATGTTATTAATTTTCATAAAAGCTGGAAAATGGGGCTGCCTGGTTCGATCTCAGTGAACTGCCTCGGCCACTCAGTGAACCCTTCTGTGCTAAGACGCAGTGAGGGATCACTAAGCCACATGTGCCCTGGATGGGGAGACATCTCTGAAAGTGTGGTAACAGCATCAGCTAATATTTACTAAACACCTGTCTGTACCACAGGCATTGTGTGGTGAGTTTACATTCACTTTGCTGGTGTTCTTATTTAATCCTTGAAATGGTCTTGCTGAGTCAGGACTGTCCCCATGTTAAAGATGGGGAAACTGAGCTCCAGTTTAGAGACTTGGCTAAAGTCACACAGCCGAGTGACCTAACTGAAACTCCACTCCAGGTTTGTGAGACTCCAGCATCTTTTAAGCACCACCCTCCATTCCCCTGTGTCTGAGAGTGACGGACCCACTGTCAGACTGATGGTGGCTCTGCCCAGGCCTGCATGCTGTGCATCCTGCCCTGCTCCTGCCTGAGCATGTGGGGCTGGCTGTGCTGGCACACTGTGTATGACTGGGGCCCTGTGGGTCCTAGAGACATGTGATTCTTTCTCTACGACTGTTAATGGCTATGTTGAAAGGTAAGAATGCACCTGGCTGTGTGTGTGTGCGTATTGGGTGAGGAGAGGTCTCACCACTGGTGTGCTGGTGAAAGATCACCTCTGTTGGGGAGGAGGCTGGTGGGGAAGGCTAGTTTGAAGTACTCATCTATTCTCATGGAGTAAATATTCCCATTATAGCCAATTTCAAGTTACCAATGGTTGTGCTATATTGCAAAATTCCTGAGAATTTAACAGTCAGCTTTTGAAAGCTGGTAGGAACTTGCCTTTGCACATTGTTGGTCTCACACACTTAGGCCTAGCTCCAAATATTGGGAAAGCAAAGCTAGCAGGATTGGAGCTCCCAGGCTAACCTCTTGATTTTACAGATGGATAAACAAGGCCCAGAGAGAAGTGCTTGGACTATGGAGCTTGGTTTTTACTTGGCGATCCATTTTTGGGGAGAGGGGGGATGGGGAGGGGGTCGGATACATATCTGCTGATGAAATTCTGCCAAGCCTGTCATACATGCTTAATAAATAATTCATCCTCATAACTTCCTTATGAGTTCTGTATATACATTATTTTCCCTATTTCATAGATAAGGAAACCAAGGCATAGAAAACTCACTTGTCCAAGGTCATCAGGCAGTAAGTGGACGAGCTGATACTGAATCCAGGCTGTCCGGTAAGAGCCTGTGCTCTGAACCACTACCTCAGGCTGTCATGGTAACATGTGGTTCACCACCACCAGGCAGGTCCTACTGCCTTTGCAGCTGCCATCTCAAGCTCAGAGGCTGCCTGGGCAGGGCAGGAGCCCTGGGCTGTGGTCTAGCCTCCACAGCTGGAATGCTCAGGGACTCAGGTAATGTTTGCAGAGGCCCACTTAAACCTCCCCTATTCCTCCGCTCCAATCAAATAACCACCAAACCCTGCTTTTAAAGAAAAAATTTTTTATTTTCTCAACCACTCAAGTTTGCTTCTTTCCCATCCTTACAGTTACTTATCAGCTATTCTCTCACCTGGCTGATTGTACCAGCATCCTCACTGGTTTCTATCTTTGATTTGATCTCACATTTCTTCTGTATACCTTCCAAGATAACTAAGTAGCTCTCCTGTTTACATACCCTTCTGTGAGTTGCAATTGCTTTCAGGAGGAAATCTGGGCCCCCTGCTGACCTCCCCAGATCTAGATGCAGGCCACCTACCAAGCTCTGGAATACAACACCTCTGGCCTCTGGTCCATCTGACAGACACCAGTCCAATATGTCATGGCTACAGCATGCCTCTGAGCCCAGCATTACTACAAAAAAAGCTGCCTCTCCCTCTTGACTCTGTCCTGCCCACAGCCAAGCCAAGCCAATTACCCCCCTACTCCTTGG